TGTGTAGGGAAAAACACATGGGCAGTGAAGGAATGGGACAACGGAAGAGAAATGACTGTGTACAGTCGTACAGAGTCCAGCTGGAGGTTTTTAGACCAGAGTTTCAAATTAACATCTAGGAACAGAGCACAGCTTGGACAACCACCAGTATTGCAGCCAGGCTCTCCTAAGAGTTGCTGGTGAAAAACCACATCTGTAGGGGAACTCCTGTGATGCAGAGGTCCACAGGCAGGAGCTCCAAGCTCAGGGCTTTGCAGTGATGGTGCTGGGGAAGAGAGTCTCAGCTCAAGTAAGAGGAAGAGATGGGAGCTCCTGGGGTACAGAGACAGAGCCATGCCTAAGTCCCACAGGCTGGGAAAAGCAGGTACCAGCATTAGTACCTAGGCCACCACCCAGGCAGGCACCTTCAGAAGAGAGTGGGGGCCTAAGGAGGGACACCCCCAAAGGTGGCAAGTGGCTCCTTTGCCTCTACCTGTGGTAATTTTGTACTAGTTCTTCCTCCTCTCCTCGCCCAGCCTGTCCTAGCAGGGCACAGGGAATGGCTCACGCTGCCAGCATCCTCTAGTGTGGCTGGTCCTGCCCCACAGCTCCCTCCCCACTGAATACTCCTCCTCATATACTTCTTTTAAAACTTTTATTCAACAATATAGAATTCTTTTAATTATAATATAGGACTGTCCATCGTGATACTACATCCCCTGCCACCCCCATGCCTTGGCAGAGACAGGTGCAAGCTGGCTAACTGTGGTTCGTCAGAGGTTGCGGGGGAACAGCCAGAATGGAGGAAGGAACAACTAACCAACAGCTGCTTTGCACACCCTTCACATTTCCATGCTTTCTGGGTCAGGAAGAGCTCAACAAGGAACTAAAGGCAGAAGAACCTTTAACACTCAGAGGGAAGGGCTGTGGTCATAAAGAGGCGAGTGCCGTCCAGCCAGGCATGCTGCCCTGCTCTCAGCCCTGCCCGCGCTGCGCAGTCTGCCCGCCGTCACTCTACACACGCCGATAGGATGTTTGATTTGATTCTCATTCTGCTTATGGAAAATTGGGAGCAACAGCATCGGACCTGGGGAGAGACGGGAGGAGGGAAGTGAGTGTCATGGGGCACTCCAGCTCGACACAGAGCTCCTCTGGCCCCAGGTGACGAGGAGATGGCTGGGCACACTGCCCCGCATCCTGCCACCCCACCCCCAGCCAGGCCTGGCCGCACTCTCCATGCCCCTCTGGATGTAGGGACAGCAGGGGATCCTCACCCTGCTTTAGAAGGGGTGGCAGGGTGAGAGGGGAAGGCAAGGGAGGGACACAGTCTAGCAAAGCAACGCTTTCATGGGCAGCCGGATGCAAGTTTGGACTCTTTTCTCCCCAACCTCCTGTGTTAAGTCCCCCTCCACTGCCTAAAACATCTCCTCTAGTCTCACTAAAGGCTTCTGTCATGCTCCAGCACACTTGCAACAGGCACGGAGAAGCTGGGGAAGCTGCTTACCGTGTCCCTCAATGGCTGCTGTGGTTCTCGTTTTGAGCCTTTCCTCTTACAAGGCACTCAGGCAAACTTGTGCTCTACGTCTGCTAGAAAGCTAGGGCCGGGGCAGCTGAAAGGGCAGGACGTGCACCAGGACTCTCCCAAATTTCTCCAGGAGAAAGCATATGAAGATGCACGTTCCCCAGCCTCCTTCCTTCCTAAGGACAAGACACTGTCTTCTTCAGCTCCTGGCTGTCCCTACGGGCAGGATGACGCTTTGCTAAGGTCCAGAGGAGAGCAGGGTTTCCTGCTCTGAGTGCTGGAAGGGCCGATGGGCACAGAGAGGAATTGGCCCGAGGTACAGCCAAGCATCCACACCGCCCTGGGATCAGGAGACTCCACATCCTCCTCACTCTCAGGCTACACTTGCTCAACTGCCATGTTTCCCTCTGGGATGAATGTGTCACAGCTCATCCTACCCTAGAGCTCTGGGGTAGGGATGTGGGGAGATACGGGGCAGGTTGTTCCAGCCTCTCTGGTTACCACAACCAGGGAAAGCCATTTACCCATTTCACTCACTGGTAAGAATGTCTCTTCCTCTGCTTGAGGGTACCAGGAAAGAATTTCTGACTCAGGTTTACAGAACTGATACTTCCCGAAGCACCACCTTGAAACTCCACCATCAGGTTCGGACACCGTCACGCACTTGTATACAAAGATCAGTGTTTTTCAGCTATTGAAATTCCCACACTGAACCCATTTTTCTCCCCCACACCTCTTCTGCCTTGGCTCTCCGAGAGCTGGGAGTGCCAACACACAAGAGTTGGAGGAAAACAGGCAAGTTTCCCCCATAGCAACTTGGAGAGGCCATGAGAAACATCCACTCCTGCCTCTTCTCAATGGAGCAATTCACATGTTTAAAAACAGTTGAAATTGATGTTAAAACCCCAAACCAACCCTGCTGGTATTAGTACAGCTTAAGAGCACAAGAGACCCCCATGCCTCTCAAGACAGGCAGCCTGTGGGTCAGGCAGATGGAAGGACAGAGGGCTGGAAACATTCGCCAAAGCCTTCAGCAGCATCTGCAAGAGAGTTAATGTTAGCAAGGGCCCTGTGGCATGTCAGCAACATCATCACAGACAGCTCCTCAGCTTGGACACTGATAACAGCTCATGCACTAGTCGCATCCCAGGGTGGGAGGAAAGAAGAGCTACTCTCTGCTCAGCACATCCTTAGAAAAAGCCATCCACCCAGGCTGAGGAGACAAGCATGGGTGTACACATGTGGAGAATCCCCAACTTCCAGCCACGTATCAGTGACCTCTTGTCTGACCAGCCATGTAACAGACACATTAGACTGCTACCTTGGGCACTGGCTGTTTGAGTCCATTGTACCACAACAGCCGACTCCCACACTGTACCCAGAACCTCACACCTCCTCTGCAGCCCCATGAAAGCAGAGACAACAGGCCACAGTGAAACCCTCAGAGCGGACAGCATGAAGAACTGCAACCAAAGACTAAGAGATCCCAAAATACTCAGACAAGAGGGGCTGGAAGAACCAACCTGACCTCCTTGAGCAGGCAATGCCTTCAGCTCTCACTCCTTCTGGCTATACCATAGATTTGAGACGACAGACATTCAGATGTATAGATATTTATTGGTTTCAGTGAATTATACAAATGGATTGACCTGCTATCGATGCCAATAGAACTTTATTGGAATATGGAATGTAAACAGATGTTTCAAATAGAAACATTGCAACCTTATAAAAAATTAACTATTTCAACAATGCCGCAGAAGGAAATTCTGTGTTTAGGTGCTGGTGGGAAAACACTATCTCCAGCTTCTAGGTTTCAATGTCACCAGAACCACTTGATGAAGTTACACACAGAACAAGTAGAGGAGGCAACTGTGAATTGTGGGGCTATATAGCCATCGAGGGATCTGATGAAAGAACCCACAAGATGAACCCCCCACCCCCCGCAACAGGATCAGCACCCCAGAATTCAACAAATGGCTGACGTTGTTAAAACACTACGTGGGATCCCAAGTCCTGGATCAGTAGCTGCACAGCCCCATTCCTGACAGACCACATCGCTGTTTGCTGATCCTTCTTCCTCCCTGTGCTCTCCTCCCTGACCTCCTCTCCACTCCTCCGTCCTGTGTGCTGGATTGAACTGTTCCAGAGCTGTGCTCTGGCACAAGTCTGCGTCTGGCACGAATTCTCATGGGAGCCACGTCATGAGGTACATGGTTGCACACCTATCACAAGAAGTCTTGCAACACTGACTTTCCTGAGCTTGGTGGGAAAGTCTGGATCGTCCCTCCCCCCTCCTGCCACAAGAGCAGCCCTCACATTCACAAGTTTCCAAAGCAGGTCTATTGAGTTTCTTCTCAGAGCGAGCCTTTGTCAAACACACCTGGAGGGGGGAATCTCACCTCTCCCCAGCAACTTGGATCAGTGCCTTCATTTTAATGCTCCAAACCAATCCTGAGATGCTGCTGGGTTTGTGGGCTGTTTTTTGTTGAACCTCCCCCCTCCCCCCAACCACGCCGGCATTCACAATTGAAACGGGAATTCAAGGGCCAAATTCAAGCCCAGAGTGAGCAGTAGGACTTGGACCTCAAAACAGAGTTGCACCTGCTGACCCCCAGCCTGAATTTGGTTCATCCAGAGTCTACAAGTCAGAAAGGCATGTTTAGAAAGAGGCATGCTAAGGGCTGATGGTGGAACGACCAACTTGTCCCCACCACGCTGGTGGGGAAGGCTGGATTGAGAAGGAAGAGAAGGATCCATAGAGATGTGAACCAGAATCAGTTGTGTTGAGCCCTGGGGATATCACTACATGTTTAGCTCTTGCAAGACCATTTGCCCAGGGCTTTGGTACCACAGGGTTAGAGTTACATTAACCACAACCACCAGAGAGGAACTGAGGTTTATGACCCCCCCCAAGGTTAGATTTCTGCCGAGTATAAAGGGGAGGGGAAGGAGGGGGGGGTCCTTGGTTCTTTTCCCTTCACTGTGTGACCGAAGGTTTTACTTTTATTTGTAAACATCTTGAATTACCCGTCGTTTTCCAGTCTTCATCGTGCTGTTGTCAGGCCACTGGAGAGCACAGCATTTTCTGAGCTGGGCTGGGACTGCTCCTTCACCACTGGATCTGCAGGAGACACAGACCAGGCAGGAAGGGGAAACAGCATTTAATAAAGCTGAAGCTCTACCCTGGCAAACCCTTACAGAGAAACTGCCCTCAAAACCCACACAGCTGCTAAGGCTTTCGCAGAGAGGGTAGCCAAAATTTGCATCCACAACCGAAGACCCCTCTCCCTCCCAGCTGGCCCCAGCTTCTCCACAGACTCACAGAAATAGGGGTGCTCCATCGCCTCCTTGGCGGTCAGCCTCTGTTGATGGTCATATCGCAGGAGCTTGTCCAGGAGGTCTAGGACTTCAGGACTGACCAGGTGTCTGTTCTCACTGTGGATGAAATTCTCCCAGCGCTTCCGGGAATGCCTGCAAAGGGACCAGCTGTCACTACCCAGCTCTGACCAGCACAGCAGTACCCAGAGGTCCCGGGGGAATCACCTGGCACTATGCACTTCTGAGAAGAGATGGCTGCGACGGACACTGCCTACAGCTCTTCCTTGCACAAGCTACTGCTCAGCAAGCACTTGCTGAAGGGGGGGGAACCCTCTTTAGGTACAAAATTGTGTGGATGTCCTATGCCTGGGAAAGGCACAATATTGCACATTCCCTTCTGTCTACAGGGACTAGACAACAGCATGCAGCAGGCAGGGTGACACCCTTGGGACCAGAAGTGCTCTGGCTTGCCAGCCAGCCTCAGAGAAGCTGTCCTCGCTATCCCATCCATGTCTCATCCTTTTCAGATATCTCAGCTGGGAGATTTTGAGCCCTTCAGCCCACACTCAAGTCTAGTGTCTACATCTCCACTTCTAAGATGTCAACGAGCAGGAGAAGGAAGAAACAAGGGATGGCTCGTGGATCATGGGAGAGGCAAAAGGAAAGAGCCTGCATTTCAGTGACCTCCTGAGCTGACACAAGCAGCCAGATGGGAGGCCTGCAAGCAGCATTGTGACCCAGAAGATCAAAGCAGGCCTTTGCTTAGAGTCCTTCAAGGGGATGGACATTAATTTATCTTCCTCTCTGTGTTACAAGGAAAAAAGGCTGCATTTCACTTCTCCACTTACTGGCCCAGGATATCATTGAAGTGCGGGTCCAGTTCTATGTGGTACTTCTTGAGATACCCATACAGCTCATCTGTGCCCAGGACCTTTGCGATGCGAACCAGCTGGAACAAAAGGCATGTTGAGAGAGAGCAGAAGGGCAGGCCACCACTCTTTCGCAGAGGCAGAGCTGCCCAAACCTAAGAGCTCTCCTTCTGGAAACATCCCAGATGGAAGGAATATCTCCCTTGAAACTTGTTTTTGCAACATGTGCAGAAAACAAGTCTCCTATGCAAGGCAGTGAAGCATAATCCTAGATGGCTTAACTAAGCATATAGCAACATCCTGCCAGCCTGGTGATCTGATCCCCAGAACCTCCCCACTATACACACAGAGATGAGGCGGTGACAAACATCTCATGAAATAAGTCAGGTAGTGAAGTCTTTACTTGGTCATAATTGTCCTGGCCGTGGAAGAAGGGCTCCTTTCGGAAGATCATGCTTGCCAGCATACAGCCTAAACTCCACATGTCTAAGCTGTAGTCATACATCTGAAGGGAAAAAGGAGAAGCTGTCAGAAAAGGCATGCTCACCACGGCCCGGTTCCCCAACCACACAGGCAACCTCAGCCTTTTCACTTCACAGCCACCCTCTTTTCAACCTAGGCAATGCCCTGGCAGGCAAAACCAGCCAACCCAATGGTGGCTAAAGTGCAACCACAAGTGGTATCGCTGGCTAGCAAGGAGGAGGCAGACTCTTACTTGGTAGTCCACAAGGAGCTCCGGTCCTTTGAAGTACCTAGAGGCCACACGGACATTGTATTCCTGAGCTGGATGGTAGAATTCGGCCAGACCCCAGTCTATGAGCCGCAGCTGAACATGCGATAAAGAGACACAGAGTAAGAAGCCTCAGTATAAGCCAGTTAGGTGAAACCATATTGGCCAAACCTCTCAATTCTATGATGCAAGCGTGGAGGCCGGGATGCACGGAGGCACTCTGAGGACAGGAGATGCTCTCAGCAGTACTCTGGTCAGGCTCTTCCCTTCCCCCTATCACCAGCTGGTGGGGCAAAGCCCAGCTTAGAGAGCTCCTCTGCCTCCTGAGTCCAAGCACACTGTTACTGCTGGGCAACTGGCTCCTTACCAGCATCACCAGCCACAGCAGACAGGTCGTTGCATACTAGGGAACAGGCAAAAGCCAGCTGTTTTATCCTGCCGTTTAGAGGGGCTGGGCTGAAGGCAGTGTTGATTTTAACTGGGGGCTGAGAGCAGGAAACGAGGTAGGAGGGAAGCCGACTACATCTTGCAAGGCAGACCATGTCCTCCGCAGCCACAGGAATAGATGACCTGCCATGTTACTGAAGGACAGCGGGTCTAGTAAGAGATTTCCCCCTCCTTACACACCTTGCCTTGTCTGTACAGCCACTGCTGATTGACAGGGAGGGACCTGTGAACCAGCAACTAATTTGCTGCTGCAAATCCCAAGTCCCTGGGGAGACAGGTACACACAGCATCCAATGAGGTACATGCGCCATGACAGGGTGGGGAAGCTCCCTGTGCTGCCCATTTCCATGGTAGTGAGCTGGGTAAAAACTTTTCCTGTGATCTAACTAGCACACCCCAGAAATGAGGAAGCCACTGCAGGACAAGCAGACTGTACTACAGGAGGAGCTTGTGTTCCCTAGGTAAAAATATCCACGTGTATTTCAGACAAGGCCACCCTTCTTCTGCCCAGGGCCTCTGCACCCTACTGCCATACCTCCTCAGGTGGAGATTAATGGCCCAGACCTGCTCCTGTCAGCAAAGAAACCCAGTGTGGTGGCTGGGAATAAGAGCAACCTCCAAGCCATGGACTCCCACTGCAGTGCTCCCTAGCGGGACTTTGGCCATCTCCTGATGCAGGCACAAGTGCAGGGGAGCCGGTAAAGAAAGGTTAAAGGGGTAAGTAC